TTCCTGAAAGCTCATCGTTAGCTGAAATTATTGTTAGCTGAATTAGTTTTCCCCATAAGAAATAATGGAAATCAAATTAATCCGTGCAAGACACCCCAAAGTATGAAAAACAAAAATTTTTTACCACATGAAATATTAATTTTAATACACACAAACTGACACTTACCTTTATTGAAGATTGGTGATGATTGATGGGATGGGAGGAGGGGAGAGTATGGAAGTTGTTAATGTTTAAAAGGGGAATCCCCTTCCATTAGGACTTTAGGTAGCAAGTCCTTTTCTGGGGTTACTTCCCTTCTTCTTTTAATGCCACTAGGACCAGCTGTCTGTTGTGCAGCAACACCTGACTTTGGTGCAGCAGCAGCTGACCGTGGTGCAGCAACAGATGATGGTGGTGTAGCAGCAGCTGACTGCGGTGCAGCAGCAGCTGACTATGGTGCAGCAGCAGCTGACCGTGGTGCAGCAGCAGCTCACCGTGATTCAGCAATAGCTAATTGGTGCAGCAACAGCTGACCGTGGTGCAGCAACAGCCGACCGTGGTGCAGCAATAGCCGACCGTGGTGCAGCAATAGCTGACCGTGGTGCAGCAACAGCCGACTGTGGTGCAGCAACAGCTGACGGTGGTGCAGCAGCAGCTGACGGTGGTGCAGCAGCAGCTGACCGTGGTACGATAGTACATATTTCTCACCCTTTTTACCACAGGGTTGGCACTAGAAGCTTTCTATGGGCCCATGGTGGCTTACTTAGCAGTTACAAGCACTATAAACAATGGAATAATACAAAATGTATCAAATGTATGCACGCAACCGGCCACCCTGGCTTGTAAACAATGACGGCAGGGCTGGATGGACAGGTTCGGGATGAGTCATGTTGGTCAGAAACAGCTGACTGTGGTGCAGCAGCAGCTGACTGTGGTGCAGCAGCAGCTCACCGTGGTGCAGCAGCAGCTGACCGTGGTGCAGCAGCAGCTCACCGTGGTGCAGCAGCAGCTCACCGTGGTTGCAGCAGCAGCTGACTGGTGCAGCAACAGCTAACCATGGTGCAGCAGCAGCTGTGGTGCAGCAACAGCTGACTGGGT